AGGTGCACAACCGAACGGGATAAAGAACACTTGCAGCGCATAGCGCGTAGCGCTTAGCGCTTTTACCGCGCGCCGATGTCGCAGTCTTGCAATGCGCGCCGCCCCCTCTGCCCCACGCCCGACCGCCCCTCGCCCGCGCGCGGGGGCGCATTGCATGCCGATATACTTCCACGCGGCGCATGGCAGACAGCAGCGCGGGGTATCGCGCCGCCATATATCATTGACTAGAACCACGCGCGCGCTTCGCGCGCTTAGGTTCTAGCTAGGAGGCGAGCTTGAGTTAGCGAAAGTCGCCGGGAAGGGGGCAGGGGGAAGAAGGCCACAGAGCGCTGAAAGGATACAAATGCTGGAACCCTCTTGTGATTTTGTGGGGGGCCTCGTCCGGCCGCTCGCTGGGAGTTTGACGTAGCTTCTCGGGGGCCTCCGAACCTGTCGGGGGCCTCCTGGAAGCAGGTTCGAAGCATTTTGGGGGCCGATTTGGGGCTTCTCGGGGCCTCCTTTGGGCCTCTTGGGGGTCTCCTGGGGCCTCTTGAGGGGCCTCCTTGGGACCTCCTGGCGGCCTCTTGGGGCGGAAGGCTCGAGCTTGCGGTTCGTGGTCCCCCTCTGGGCCCCCTCTTGGGCCCGTCTTGGGGCCCTCTTGGGCCATCTTGGGCGCCTCTTGGGCCGTCTTGGGGCCCTCTTGGGCTGTCCTGGGGCCCTCTTGGAAGCTTCTTGGGCCGTCTTGGGGCGGTCTTGGAGGCCTCTTGGGCCGTCTTGGACGCGGTGAAAGCCCAAGATGCGAACATGCGAAAAATATACGTTTTCCCACAGGAATGGCACGATGTTTGTTCTTGGACCTCTCTTGGGGTGCCTCTCGGAACGTCTTGGGCTGATTGTGGAAGCCTTTTGGCGCATCTGGGCTGCGTTTTGGCGCCTCCTGGGATATGTTGGGCCGGAAGCTCGGGATTCGAGAGTGGCTTTCTCCTTCTGGGACCCCTCTCGAAGTCGTCTTGGGGTTCTCCTGGGCCGTCTTGGGGCCGTCCTGAGCCACTCGTGCGCAGCCTTGGAGCGCTCCCGGAAGCCTCCTAGGCCGTCTTGGAGGCCTCTTGGGCCGTCTTGGACGCGGCGAAAGCCCAAGATGCGAACGTGCGAACAATATACGTTTTCCCATAGGAATGGCACGATTTTTGTTTCTTGGACCTCTCTTGGGGTGCCTCTCGGAACGTCTTGGGGTGCTTTTGGGAGCCTTTTGGCGCCTCTTGGCGGCATTTTGGCGCCTCCTGGAGCCTCTTGGGCCGGAAGCTCGGAATTCGAGGTTGGCTTTCTCCGTCTGGGACCCCTCTCGAACTCGTCTTGGGGCTCTCTTCGGCCGTCTTGGGGCCGTCCTGGGCCACTCGTGCGCAGCCTTGGAGCGCTCCCGGAGGCCTCGTAGACCGTCTTGGGCGCCTCTTGGGCCGTCTTGGACGCGGTGAAAGCCCAAGATGCGAACATGCGAAAAATATACGTTTTCCCACAGGAATGGCACGATGTTTGCTTCTTGGACCTCTCTTGGGGTGCCTCTCGGAACGTCTTGGGCTGATTGTGGAAGCCTTTTGGCGCATCTGGGCTGCGTTTTGGCGCCTCCTGGGATATGTTGGGCCGGAAGCTCGGGATTCGAGAGTGGCTTTCTCCTTCTGGGACCCCTCTCGAAGTCGTCTTGGGGTTCTCTTGGGCCGTCTTGGGGCCGTCCTGAGCCACTCGTGCGCAGCCTTGGAGCGCTCCCGGAAGCCTCCTAGGCCGTCTTGGAGGCCTCTTGGGCCGTCTTGGACGCGGCGAAAGCCCAAGATGCGAACGTGCGAACAATATACGTTTTCCCATAGGAATGGCACGATTCTTGTTTCTTGGACCTCTCTCGGGGTGCCTCTCGGAGCGTCTTGGGGTGCTTTTGGGAGCCTTTTGGCGCCTCTTGGCGGCATTTTGGCGCCTCCTGGAGTCTCTTGGGCCGGAAGCTCGGAATTCGAGGTTGGCGTTCTCCGTCTGGGACCCCTCTCGAACTCGTCTTGGGGCTCTCTTCGGCCGTCTTGGGGCCGTCCTGGGCCACTCGTGCGCAGCCTTGGAGCGCTCCCGGAGGCCTCGTAGACCGTCTTGGGCGCCTCTTGGGCCGTCTTGGACGCGGCGAAAGCCCAAGAGGCGAACATGCGAAAAATATACGTTTTCCCATAGGAATGGCACGATGTTTGCTTCTTGGGCCTCTCTTGGGCTGCCTCTCAGCGTCTTGGAGGCTTCTGGGGCCTTCTTGGTGTCATGACAGGCGTCTTGGAAGGCATCTGGGGCCATCGGAGCGCGTTCCGAAGCCGCCTGCGAACGATCTTGGACGGCGCCCGGCGGGAGGTGGCAGGTTTGCGGGTCGCGCCGAAGCGGGTCGAGCGCGCCTTTGCTGCCTGGCACGGCCTGCCGCTTGGCGAAAGCGCGCCGGGTGCCTGTGAGCGTTGTTCCCAGGGTGACTTGGAGCCGCCCCATCGCCTCGCCGGGTGTCTCCCCGGGAAAGTCCCACTGGACGTTGCCGATGTTTGTTTTGTAAAGCTGCTGTCCCGCGTCGGGGCCCTTGGGCTCTGGCCATTGGCGCTGCCGCGCATCCTGGCCGCAAACCACCGGAGAACCGGCCTCGCTGTCCCGGCCAGAGGGCTCGCAATCTGCTCGCGACAGTTCCGGCTGCGCGCCTGGCGGGGCTCTGCGGGGAGAGGCGGGCCGCGTAGTTGGCCGCCGGGCAGGGGGCGGGTCGCATCCGGCAGCCAGGGCGGACGCTGCCCCGCGGTGTGCGGGGAGAGGCCCCTTTCGCTGGCGCTCGCCTTCGGGCCTGTGCCCGCCGTCGCTCCCGGGCGCGCCCCCTTCGGTCAACGCGGGGCTCTCGCCGGTCTCGGGGGCGCCGCTGGTTGTGCCAGGCGCGCGCGCGCGCGGCGACGCCGTTTCCGTGGCCAGAGCGCAAAATTCTTCGTCAGTCGCGCCCTGGACGTCTGGAGGGGGCGCTCGAGGGGAAGGGGGGCGAATAGGCGCGAAGGGGTTTCTCGCGACGAGCCAGCGGATGGCTTCGCTGTCCTGCGTCTGAACGGTTGGTCCGCGCCCCCCCTGCTGGGTCTGCAGCGCTCCCAGAGGACTGCTGACGGGTCTGATTGTTTCGTGGGGGAGGAGGGGGTGGCGCGGTGTGGCAGGCGAGCCCCTGCTGGCCCAGGATCTCGCTTAGCTGACTGTTGCGGCTGCCGTCTGCACTTTCGGGGGCCACCCCCTGCCCGCCCGGTACTACTCTAGAGACACGGATGAAGGCTTGTGCCTCTTCCGCACCTTCAGAGGCCTCGGCCGCTTCGGGCCCCCGATGCTCCGCGGCCTCCGCAGCCACCGCCGACTCCGCCGCGGCCTCCCTCTCCTTTTCCCTGCCCTGCTGCTGCTGCTGAGGGAGCAAGGGTGCCTCTGAGTCTTCTCGTGGGTTCTGCTGGCTTCCAGAAGTGCCCAGAAGGCTGTCAGGGAGCAGGGGTGCCTCCTTCTGGTCGTCAAGGAAGGTTCTTTGAGGTCTCGCGGGTCTCTCGTCCCCGGGGTGGGTCTGCTGCTGTTGGAGCTGATGTTGCTGCTGCTGCTGCAGCTGTACCTGTTGCTGGTGATGCGGCTGTGGTCGTGGGTGATGCAGCAGTTGCTGCGGCTGCTGAGGGGGGTGCTGCTGCTGCTGCTGCAGCTGCGGGGTGCTGTTGCTGCTGCTGCTGCTGCTACTGTAGCTGCTGCGGCTGGTGCCCTGCTGCGGCGTCTGTTAGCAGGGGGCCTGCGGCTGCTGCTGCTGCAACTGTTGGGTTCTGTTGCCGCATCTGCTGCAGCTGTAGCTGTCCAGTTGTTGTGGCTGCTGCTGCTGCTGCTGCTGCTGCTGCTGCTGCTGCTGCGGCATCGGCTGCAGGTGCTGCTGCTGTTGCTGCTGCTGCTGCGGCTGCTGCTGTTGCTGCTGCAGCGGCTGCTGCCGCTCCTGAAGCTGCTGCTGCAGAGGCTGCAGCAGTGGCTGCTGCGGCAGCGGCGGCGGCAGCTGCTGCCACTGCGCCCGCAGCAGCCGCGGGGGGGCGGCGGGGGCGGCAGCGGCGGCCGCCGCAGCCGCCGCGCCAGCAGCCGCGGGGGCGGCCGCGGCGGCGCGGGCCACCGATCCCGCCGCCGCCGCCAGCGGGGAGCCGGCAGCAACGGCAGCAGCGTCCGCCGCGACAGCGGCCGCCACGCCGGCCACGGCGCCGCCGGCCGCCGCCGCCACCGGAGGGGATCCGGCGGCGGCGGCAGCAGCGGTGGCGACGGCAGCGGCGGCAGCAGCGGCGGCGCCCGCGCCCTCCGCCGCCGGCAGCGGTAGCGGCAGCGGCGGCGGCGGCGGCGGAAACCACCGCCAGCCAGCCGGCCGCCTCCGACGGCGGCGGCGGCAGCGGCGGCCCAGGCGCGGCGTCCCGCCGCGCCGCCACCAGCCGCTGGCGCCGGCGCAGCGCGGCCCCGGAGAGGGCCGAACCAAAGGCGGACATAGCAGCGGCCCGGGCGCGAACCTGAGAAGGGGCGTGCTCGAGCCAGATGGCTTGAGCCAGGAGGGCTTGAGCCAGGGGGTCTACGGAGCATGGAAATAAGACGAGGCGCCGTGAAATCTAGGCAGATATCATGGCCCCCGCCAGGATGTCCACCCCGCCCCTCGTCACCATCCCCCTATTGGCCGCCCCCGATTCATGCGGTTTTTGTCTAGACGAGGGCGTTCCACTACTCGCAAAGTAGCTACTCGCAAGTGGCCTGGATCCCCCGCGGAGGATCTACGATAAATTACATCGAAGCGGGCATGTGTTTTTCGGACGTTCTCGCCGTCGCTCGCACGTCCATTTCCCGTGTTTTTGATCGGTTTTGTGCGTGTTTTTTTTTGCTCGTTGGTCGAGGATGGTCCTCGATGGTTCTCGCCGAGAAAACATGCACACGTCCAAGCCATGCCAGGCGTTTGCGAGTAGGCACTTTGCGAGTAGTGGAACGCGCTCGGTTTTCGCCGCTCGATCCTCCCACTCCCCCTCGTAGCGGTGGGTCGGCATGGCGCCGAGGCCCGGGGCGCCGCGTTGGCCGTAGTCGAAGGACACGCCCACGCCGTGCCGCACGTTGGCCCGCCACTGCCCCGCGTAGGCGCCGCCGTCCCGCAGCAGCAGGAAGCCGAAGCCGTGCTTCTGGTTGCTCCTCCAATCGCCATCGCTTGGACGTCCATTCCCTGCGTTTTTTCAGTTTCGTGCGTGGTTTTTTCGCCAAGTGATCAAGGATGCTCCTCGATGGTCCTCGCCGAGAAGGAAATGCACACGTCCGAGCGATGCCACGTCCACAGGCCGAGGGCGAGGGCCCCCGGGGTGAGCCAGCGCGGGTGCGGTGGCCGCACGCGGACGCTGGCCTCTGGGCCTTCGGTGGAGCTCCCTGTGGGGCCACGAAGCGTGTGAGGAGTGTGCCGGAGTGTGCTGGAGTGGGCGCATGCGAGCGCTGGCATGTGGGCCTTCGGTGTCGAGCTCCCTCCGGGGCCATGAAGCGTGCCCTGCCGCACTGGTTCCAGAGGGGAGGGGAAGGGGTGGACCTCCCCAGAATGGCTCCATCGGGCGGTGCGTCATTCCCAGAAATCGCCCAGTCGCGTGGAGGCGCAGAGAGGAGCAGCTCCAGGATCTCAACTGTGGCAGATTACTAGAAAAGATCCGAGTTGCCCCAGAATGCGACAACATGTTTCTTTTTCGGCTGGTTACACATTGTTTTTTGTTTGCGACGGGTTACACAATGATTATTTGTTGCAGGGTCTTGCAACAGGATATCTGTCGTCACGGATTGCAGCTGGATTCCTTTTGTGGCATGTTACCTACGGATTCCTTGTGCGGATAATTACTCATATACTTCCTCCGTCGCAGAAGACACAAACGATCCCCTTTCTCGGACAATGATTATTTTTGTCAATCGGATTCTTTTGGCGGAGGGTAATCGTAGGATGCCCTTTGGCGACCTTATAACCTTGTAGCTGTTTTTTCCCAACCCTCCTGCGTTGGGTACTCGTTTTGAATAAGGCACTGCGGTCGCGTCTCCCCTCCTCCTTCCCGTCCCCCTCCTCTCCTCCTTCTCCCCATTTGTGAAACTGTCGCCACTTTCGAGGGCTGCTGGGGGGCCCAGCACAGCGACGTCTTACGGGGACTCAGATTAGACCTCGCCATCGCTGGGGGGCTGCGATCCGTGAAACTGTTGCCACTGTCGATGGCTGCTGGGGGGGGGGCAGCGGAGTGACGTTTTACAAGGATTCAGATTAGACCTCGCCATCCCTGGGGGGCTGCGATCTGTGAAACGGTCGCCACGTTCGAGGGCTGCTGGGGGGCCCAGCGCAGCGACGTCTTACGGGGACTCATATTAGACCTCGCCATCGCTGGGTGGCTGCGATAAGCGAAACTGTCGCCACTTTCGAGGGCTGCTGAGGGGCACAGCACAGTGACGTCTTACGGGGACTCAGATTAGACCTCGCCATCCCTGGGGGGCTGCGATCTGTGAAACTGTCGCCACTTTCGAGGGCTGCTGGGAGGCCCAGCACAGCGACGTCTTACGGGGACTCAAATTAGACCTCACCATCCCTGGGGGGCTGCGATCTGTGAAACTGTCGCCACTTTCGAGGGCTGCGGGGGGGGGGCAGCGGAGTGACGTCTTACGGTGGCCCAGATTAGACCTCGCCATCCCTGGGGGGCTGCGATCTGTGAAACTGTCGCCACTTTCGAAGCCTGCTGGGGGGCCCAGCACAGTCTGCACCCGCGGCGACTCAAATGGGACCTCGCCATCCCTGGGGGGCTGCGATCTGCGAAACTGTCGCTACGTTCGAGGCCTGCTGGCGGGGCCCAGCACAGTCTGCACCCGCGGCGACTCAAATGAGACCTCGCCATCCCTGTGGGGCTGCGATCTGCGAAACTGTCGCCACTTTCAAGGCCTACCCAGCACAGTCTGCACCCGCTGCGGCTTCAAATGTGACCTCGCCATCCCTGGGGGGGCTGCGATCTGCGAAACTGTCGCCACTTTCGAAGGCTGCTGGGGGGGGGCCAGCACAGTCTGCACCCGCGGCGGACTCAAATGGGACCTCGCCATCCCTGGGGGGCTGCGATCTGCAAAACTGTCGCCACTTTCGAGGCCTGCTGGGGGGCCCAGCACAGTCTGCACCCGCGGCTGACTCAAATGAGACCTCGCCATCCCTGGGGGGCTGCGATCTGCGAAACTGCCCCCCCTTTCGAGGCCTGCTGGGGGGCCCAGCACAGTCTGCACCCGCGGCGGACTCAAATGCGACCTCGCCATCCCTGGGTGGCTGCGATCTGCGAAGCTGTCGCCACTTTCGAAGCCTGCTGGGGGGCCCAGCACAGTCTGCACCCGCGGCGACTCAAATGGGACCTCGCCATCCCTGGGGGGCTGCGATCTGCGAAACTGTCGCCACTTTCGAAGCCTGTGGGGGGCCCAGCACAGTCTGCACCCGCTGCGGCTTCAAATGTGACCTCGCCATCCCTGGGGGGCTGCGATCTGCGAAACTGTCGCCACTTTCGATGGCTGCTGGGGGGCCCAGCACAGTGCACCCGCGGCGGATTCAAATGTGACCTCGCCATCCCTGGGGGGGGGAGGGCTGCTGATCTGCGAAACTGTCGCCATCTTGTCGCCACTTTCGAAGCCTGCTGGGGTGGCCCAGCACAGTCTGCACCCACGGCGGATTCAAATGGGACCTCGCCATCCCTGGGGGGGGGAGCTGCGATCTACGAAACTGTCGCCACTTTCGATGGCTGCTGGGGGGGGGCAGCACAGTGGGTACACGCGGCGGACCCAAATTAGACCTCGCCATCCCTGGGGGGCTGCGATCTGCGAAACTGTCGCCACTTTCGAAGGCTGCTGGGGGGCCCAGCACAGAGGGTACCCACGGCGGACTCAAATGTGACCTCGCCATCCCAGCACAGTCTGCACCCGCGGCAGACTCAAATGTGACCTCGCCATCCCCGGGGGGGCTGCGATCTGCGAAACTGTCGCCACTTTCGAAGCCTGCTGGGGTGGCCCAGCACAGTCTGCACCCACGGCGGATTCAAATGGGACCTCGCCATCCCTGGGGGGGGGAGCTGCGATCTACGAAACTGTCGCCACTTTCGATGGCTGCTGGGGGGGGGCAGCACAGTGGGTACACGCGGCGGACCCAAATTAGACCTCGCCATCCCTGGGGGGCTGCGATCTGCGAAACTGTCGCCACTTTCGAAGGCTGCTGGGGGGCCCAGCACAGTGGGTACCCACGGCGGGCTCAAATGTGACCTCGCCATCCCTGGGGGGCTGCGATCTGCGAAGCTGTCGCCACTTTCGAAGCCTGCCGGGGGGAGCCAGCACAGAGGGTACCCACGGCGGACTCAAATGGGACCTCGCCATCCCTGGGGGGGGCTGCGATCTGTGAAACTGTCGCAACTTTCGAGGCCTGCTGGGGGGCTCAGCACAGTCTGCACCCACGGCGGATTCAAATGGGACCTCGCCATCCCTGGGGGGCTGCGATCTACGAAGCAATCGCCACTTTCGCGGCCTGCTGGGGGGCCCAGTACAGTGATGCCACACGCAGATTTAAATTAAACCTCGTCATCCCTGGGGGGTTGCGATCTGTGAAACTGTCGCCACTTTCGAGGCCTGCTGGCGGGGCCCAGCACAGTGACGCCTCCCAAGTAGCTTACACATCAAGTTGATTGTCCATACAAGTTTCGGCCAACTCCTCGTTTCCATTCGCACAAATGGGTTGGGTACGTCACGGGGCAATTTTTTGTGGTGGCCAATAATTGAATCCCATCTGTGGTTGCCTGAGCATTGATTTCGAGTTGTGGCGTCCTCGCAAGTGGATTCGGTTTGTGGTGGCCCGTATACAGACTCCTTATATTGCAAAGAGAAAACGTTTTACTGTCGGCGTTACATATGAGTTCATTTGGTGGCGGGTTGTAACATGATTTCCTTGTGCGGCGGCCAGGTCAAGGATTTCCCGTGTGGCGATTTGCGAGAACGCTCCTTTTGTCCCCAAGCCTCCTGCGTTGGGTTCTCGTTTTGAATAGACAACTGCTCGCGCGTCTCCTTGCTTCCTTCCTTCCTTCCTCCTTCCTTCCTGCCTTCGCTCGTCGCTGCGTGCCAGCTGGGGGGCTGCGGTCTGCGACAACGGTCGCCACTTTCGAAGGCTGCTGGGGTGCCCAGCACAGAGGATACACACGGCGGACTCAAATTGGACCTCGCCATCCCCGGGGGGGCTGCGATCTGTGAAACTGTCGCCACTTTCGAAGGCTGCTGGGGTGCCCAACACAGTGGGCACCCACGGCGGACTCAAATTTGACCTCGCCATCCCTGGGGTGCTGCGATCTGCGAAACTATCGCCACTTTCGAGGGTTGCTGGGGGGGGGGGGGGGGAAGGGGAAGGGGAAGGGGGGCAGCACACTGGGTACCCACGGCTGACTCAAATATGACCTCGCCATCCCTGGGGGGCTGCGATATGTGAAACTGTCGCCACTTTCGAGGCCTGCTGGGGGGGCCAGCACAATCGGTACACACGGCTGGGACCTCGCCATCCCTGGGGGGCTGCGATTTGCGAAACTGTCGCCATTTTCGAGGGCTGCTGGGGGGCCCAGCACAGTGGGTACTCACCGCGGACTCAAATTGGAGCTCGCCATCCCAGAGGGGGCTGCGATCTGCGAAACTGTCGCCACTTTCGAGGACTGCTGGGGGGCCCAGCACAGTGGGTACACACGGCGGACTCAAATTAGACCTCGCCATCCCTGGGGGGGCTGCGATAAGTGAAAATGTCGCCACTTTCGAAGGCTGCTGGGGGGCCCAGCACAGAGGGTGCCCACGGCGGACTCAAAGCTGGGGACCGTGCTGCAGGCGCCGCGGCGGCGCTTGTGCGCGCGAGAGGCGCACCGCGCCTGCGGGGCGTGCCGCGGACCGTGGCACCCACGGGACGTTGCGGCCTCCGTCGACGATGGCCGAGGCCTCCCCCGCAGCCCCGGAGGGTTCCTGGCAGCGGACCGGGGCCCCAAGGGCATGGCAGTCT